ACCATGCGGGTACCCACTTGCCACCGCAGTGTCAACAGGCAGGTTCGTATGCTCGCCGTTGGTCCTTAGGCCATTTGAAAATCCATGACTATGGTGGTGGAGTCCATTCGACTTTGCCATTACAGGGTGCGTGCCATTGGTCAAGTGAAGCACATGTGTGTCCCCATTAAGTTGGCGAGCAGGCTTGACGGCAGTTACCAGCACCCGCTGCTCCATCATGCCGAGGTCCTCCTTTCGCTTGCTGAGCTCTTTCCCCAGCGTGATTGGATCCGATTCCTTCTCATCGACGACGATGCTAAATCCTATATCTTGCACCAGCGTTTCTACCTCTTTCTTTCCGTAGAGCCTCTCTCGGTAAAACTGATCCCGAATGACTCCCTTGGTGGTCAATGTGACCACTTCTCTTGAGCTCAACCTTAGCCCATCCTTACTGAGCTGCCTTTCTCGGCAGACGAAAGTTGTGTCATCAATCCATTCCCAACTCCTCTCTGCAAAATTCTGTCTCATATAGTCACCGTCCGTTAAGTCTAGTACCATCCGGCCTTCGGGAGCCAATACACGAAATATCTCCCTCAAAACGACGCGATCGCCATCTTCATCGGAAAAGTAGCCAAATGAGTTACCCATCACCACGACTAGGTCAAAACTCTCATCCGCATATGGAATCTGGCGACAATCTCCAACCGTGAAAACAGTTTTTGCAGCCAAACCCTGCGAAGCGGCCCGTTCTTGAGCCAGGGATATCAGGTATGACGACTGATCGTGGCCGTGTAGTGAAAGGTGTGGGTAATCCTTGGCGAGTTGAAGCACGTGTCGCCCTTGTCCACAGCATAGATCGAGAATCCGTGCAGGTCGACCTAGACGAGTTGTAACGAGAAGCGGATAGGCAACGGAAGAGAGTTGGTTGATATGTATTTGAGCGAAGCGATGATCGACGACGCGGCGCAAAACTAGTCGCATGCCAGTCTAATTCGTCATTTGTCCAATGCATGGTGTTCCGCTGCTCACCTTCATGCGCCTTTCCAGACCCCCTCAGGAGGATGCTTTGTATTCCCTTGTCAGCTTCAAGGAGTCCCACCTCTTCTTTCGTGATGTCCGGATCTTCAACAACATCTCCATCAGTCTTCAGGTACATTGCATCCGCAAAAACGGTTTGCCACCACTGAGGGGGAACCATGGATTCCAGATCGTTCACTCTCCCATGACAGATAGCACCCGCAGACGTAGTGTACCCATTTGACGGCTTTGAACGAGGCTGCGAGGTTGAGGTCGCTTTTGGAAAGAGAGACCTGGAAGATTTGCGCAGCGTGTCTAGATCTGCTAGCCATCCAGGCGTGGCCTTGGGAGGACTCATTGTGGCAGCTTGTGGCATGACTCTTGGGCTGATCAGTGAAGAGGGCAAAACAGTCGGTACTTTGCAGGACTGGAAAACACGGTCAAACTACACCAAGACAAAAGTAGGCGACATCAACGATTACATCCAAATGCAATGTCCGATCAATGAAAACCAAAGCAACGTACTGAAAACAATATCGTCCTTTAGGAATTTGCACGTCGCCGAGACGGCGTCCGAAAGTGTTGTTTCTCAAAGAATTGTTATATCTCCCAGGTCTGACAGTACGGTGGGAGCAACCGACACGAAAAACGCGAGAAACAACAGAAAAGCGATGCGAAACGATATAAAGGAAGCTTGTCCAAAAGGCAGTAAGCAGCGTAACGACGAGGAAAAACAAAAAAAAAAGTCAAGATGATCTTGGCGCGATGACCCTGCTTTTCAGTTGAATCGCGGGCAGGCAAAAGGGCAGGGGGGTCAAAATCAGGAGGGGAGACGCGGTGAGGCGATGAGCATTACGAAAGTTACGTGCCTTGCACAGACAACGTGACTGTGCCAACCTCATTTATCCTTTTTTGGTTGGGTGATCAACTTGGCGTTTTGACAAAGCGTTCGAGTGTTTTGTTTGCTGCTGACTTTTAACACTTCCTCATGAGCACATCCTTGCGGACCGCCTGCAGGATTGCCTGCATGAGCGCCTGCAAGAGTGGGTTGGGTATCCTTCTCCTCCTCCTCCTCCTCCTCACACCTCCTCCTACACAGGCTCTCTCAACCGCCGACGTTTACCATGACTTGTTTGCGGAGCCTCAGTACCAGATCCTTATTGGAGCACATTCCGAACAGCTCTTTCCCGCTGATACACAACATGCCACTGACGCACAGGCAGAAACGTTGATTCTACAAGGAAAGGAATATGTCTGCTCTCTGCCGCGGACCACTGAGAAGGAAGACATTCCTCAGGACGCAAGAGATGTGGGTGCTGTACTGAACGGACTCGGGGGGAAATGTTTGCACTATGTAGGTTCCTTTTTGCTATACACCGCATTTTTGAGGAATCAAACAAATGTATCAAATCTCTCCAAAGATGACGGGATACTGGTCATACGAATTCTGTCCACAAAAATGGGTGCGACAATATCACGCAGTAACAGCCCAAGAAGAATCCGCTCTGACGCCCGCTCAAAGGACTGAAATTGCAAACCACAATTATGTTATCGGTTTGTTTGATGGTTCTTCGTCATCAAGCGATGTAGAGGTGGTCAAATATGAGAGTGGAGGACGCCACAAGGCCTTTCTGAGGATGCGATGGAGAGGCGGCACCATTTGCGAATTGAGTGGTGTACGTAGGGAGGTTGTAATTGAGGTGGGTAGCATTGTAGTGGCGTCAAATCGATTCCGCTTAATCCGAGTTTCATTTGGCGCTAGGTGTTTTGCAACCCAGCAACCCCGTATGATCATATCTCCCAGATCCAAGAAACGTCCACTTGCAAATATCTACTCACCGTCCACACTCCCCGCCTATGTGCAGATCCGCTTTTCAATCCTCACAGCACACAATCCATCATCCACTGCAATCCTATTTCAACCCCTCACATGCTCGATTCAGGCTTTTCTCACCCAACGACCGTCCGGACTATTTCACAGAAAAGTCGACCAGCTGTCAAGCAGGAGGTTCCCAAGGAGGAGAACGAGAAGCCTTTGATCCCAGATGTGAAGGCAGTGATAAAACAGTTGGGAGAAGGTTTATCTATAACGGACTTGGCTGAAGCCGTCTTGTCGGACTGGGAAGCACCAGCCAATGGCGAACAGGCTCAGAAGGGGACACTCTCGCAAAAACTCACAGACGCCATTTATAAAGCACTTGAAGAAATGGCACCTCAGCAGCAAGAGCCCGAAGAACAGGTTGACCAAACAGATCCTGTGCAACGGATCGCCGAGAAGCTTGAGCGGATGGTCGGGGATGCAAGATTTCGCAACCGTCAAGCTGAGATGTGGATTATGGGGCCTGACGGAGAGTGGGTGAAGAAGCCTGTGGGAAAGAGGGAAAACTATGCAAAGCAGGACAAGAAGGACAAGAAGAAGAGGCGGATAGAGAAGGGAGAGAAAGCTGTTTTGTAAAATCTTTGCTTCAGTTGTAGGGAAAGCCCATTTTTGTAGTATATGTTTGTCAAGCTCATGCATTTTTTTTACATAAAGACTGCCACTTTCATTTGCTTTTGTTATTTCCTCGGCCCACTCACCCAATTCCTACTCGTCTGAATGTTCATCAGCATATTTCTTTGTGTTTTGTACATTCCAACCCGAATCACGTGCTGATATCTTCCAGGAAAATACGCACCCGTAAACATCATCATTCAGTTTACGATTTCCTGAATTTCTAGAGCTCAGACGGAATGTATGGATCTTTCCATTGACTTTTTGAATGAGGCGTCGCTGAGTTTGAGAGGATCCGGACTTAAAAGAAAAGATTTATAGAGTGCATGCCTCCGATTTCGGTGGGATCCGCCAAAGATATCGCATCTTATTCAAACGATTAGATTAGAGTATATGGGTGTCAAGGCTTTTGCGTGGGGTCTTTGCGCAGATGGGTGCTTGCGCACTGTTGACAATGTTGTGCATCCCAACGTCCCGCTGGTCACCATAAAAAACATTCGGATCTATGAGGACGAGCGTGATCGACTCTTGCAAAAATTGAGCAACGCTTTGGGAGCGCCTTTTACGTTCCCTGAACCGGAATTTGCAAAGATTTGGGAAAAGGTGCAGAATGATGGAGACCGGGGTGACAGGTTAGAACTTTTTGCGCTCCAGTTTTTCGCCAAATATGAGGTGTTTAACACTCATCGACTACTCGCAGGCTGGGAGAAATTATCTACGGCTCATATCTCAAGGCCCTGGTAGACAACATTGCCTCAAAAGATGACCAGACACGCAAGGCCATTCTGGAAAAGACACCAAATAAAAAAGTGGTCTGGAAGTTTGGCTCCGTCGAATATTATCATGATGTGACATTTGATGGGGGTTGTTTGAATATGGTTGTTGGTAAGTGTTCTGCCTCCTGCAAAAGGCGATCTATGTCATCTTTAACCCTTTTTTGCACAGCTGATAACGCTTTTTGGACCAACGTGGATTCCGTTGGCGCAGAAATTGAGAAAAAACTATAATACACACAATATATTCATAGCAATAACAAGGATGTAGTCTCCATAGCGAAACATCTGTCTTATCAAAGTATCATTTTAAAAAAGAAAAATGCATTATAAAATACCCAACCGTATGGAATAAAGTCTGGAATCCTAATCGACAGATTGTTATTGGCTATTGCTTGCGATTTCTGAAGGTATCATCAAGAAACCTCTAGCTGCATTAACCGATCACAGTCACATGACACAGAGTAAAGCCACGTGATTTGTAAATGCAAAAGTCCCCAGCAGGCATATTTTGGATTTTTTGCCTAACTTTATTACTTATGGGCAGTCGGCAATTCCATATGCATTTTCTGCTTCACGTTTTTTTTTTAACTTTGAAGATGCGCCCGTCGGAGCTGCGCCAGCACCGGCATTGCTTTATTTTTGTGGTAGACTTCATTTTGCTGCTAAAACGCCTACAAAAAAACAGATGAGTAGGCGCCTCAAAATGTTTGCCACCAGTTTTCTCAAAGCAGTGACAAAAATGTTGTGTAGAGCGATGGTTTCTCTCCCAACTTTTAAAAAAGCATGTTGTGATTCGAGTTAACCAATGGGTTCCCCCATTATCCGCTGTTAGGAGCTCATAACTTTGCGTAAGCTGTAGTCGGCAAAAAAAATCCATATGCTATATGAAGAAAGTGAGCAATTCTGCAGTCTTTGGGTCGCTCTAATGCGGCAGAGATAATTCCGAAGGGCAGGGTCCTTGATACCGCAAAGACGTTGAAGTTCCAAAAAAAAAAAAAAAAAAAAAAACAGATCTGGAATAAAAGGGCTATAAAGAGCAGCATCCCAGTCTCCTTCCATCAAAATCATCTCATAGACTAGATACCAGCACTCACAGCATAAGCATGAGACTGGCACAACCCTTTCTACTGCTGGTCGCCCTGTGCACGTACGCCCTTGCGGCTCCGTTGCCAGAATCCACGGGCTATCTCTCCAAACTAAACAGCCTCGAGGACTTTGATAGCATCGCTACGAATGTCGACAGCGGGAGTTCCAACTCCAATTTTGGAAAAGCAACAAAGTTCCTGATTGACAACCGAAATGCCCAGGCCCCAGTCATCTATTTTATCAATGCCAATGGTGCAGGCGACGAGCACCAATATCACTATTATTTCGCCGCAAAATACTTAAAGGTAAGAACACTCTACAACCTGTGGGTCACTGTAGGTGAAACTAATATCCTTCTGTCTTTGCTCTCCCTAGAATTTCAACCGCGATTTCAACGATCTGGACGTCTTTAACGATAAAACTTACTTTTCCCAAGAGAAAAGCTTTTATGCAGGTGTCGTGCGTGCCTACACTCTGCAGAATCAGACGTTCGTGGGATTCCAGTTTTACCCACAGGATGTCTTGAAAGAGCAGACGATCTTGCATGCCGCTCGCGTTGTGAGGAACGCTGCACCGACACTTGATCTTCGGTTCGTCGCCACCGGCTCTCACCAAACAGTTGCGACGATCAAGCAACAACTCGATGAAATTAAGGTTCCAGCCTTGCAATTTGACGCAATCCTTGGAGACGTGACCTACGCTCCGATTGTGCAGGGAACCTCCTATGGCATTCTTCGTCTGCGGCCCGCGGAAGATGCGACCACGCCCCGCGACATTGTAATCCTGGACGTGCTCCCACTGTACCTCTCTGTTCTTTCGGGAGTTATTACTACCCAATTCCAGGACGCCAATTCACACGTCTCCCTAAAATCTCGGGAACGAGGCACGCCAGACTGCTACCTTAAATCTGCGTCCACAGATCCTGCCATATTGGCTCTTGTTGGCAAGCCTGTGAAATTCACGGTTGGTCCGTCGAAAGCTACGATTGAGGCGGCCACCCAGGAAGAGGTGGACGATTACCACGAGGCTCTCAATGCAAAGAGACAACCAATCGTCATGAATTACGACAAGACATTTGATCAGGTTGTCTCTTACGACACAATGTGCCCCCGTTCTAACACTTTCGTTGCTGCCGCCGCTTGTATGGCAAAAAAAAACATTTTTGGATCCAAGGCTGCGAATTTGGCCTTCCTCGCCCACCCGACCGCTCTTGGTCGAGCAACCGAGAAAGGCACTCTTTCCGAACAATACGGCTACGATCTCTCACCTGAGGGCTTTGGTATTCCGTTCAAGTTGTAAGTAATATCTAGTTACTAACCACATGTCTACGTATGAACGTATGGACTCATGTATTTTCTTTTTTTTGTAGTTATGACGATCTCGTGAATTTACCAGAGAATGCCAACCTGAAGAAGGCGATTGAGAGCCTGCAGGCTTCCGTTAATCAAGACAAGCTTGCCAAGGCAGAGTTGACCAAAGCCGTCGCTGACCTGCAAAAGCTCTTCTACGCTGCCAAAATTCCTCAGGCTGTCCTGGACAAGGTTAACGCAGCCGCAGCCGCTCTGGCAACAAAAATTGGGGACCCAAAGCTCAAGCTCAAGTTCCGTTCTTCAGCTTCTGCAGAGGACATTGAAGGATTTGACGGCGCGGGTCTCTACTCGTCCTTCTCTGCCAAGATACATGAAAAAGATACCACCAGTCCCTGCACCTACGACCCCGTTGAGGATGAAATGAACCCCAAACGAATCGACTGTGCTCTTCGCGGAGTCTACGCGTCTCTTTACAACGTCCGAGGTATCGAAGAGCGTCGCTTTGCCCGCATCGAGGGAGGAATCACTATGGGTATCGCTGTCGTGCCCAAATATGCGCGTGAATCCCCCGTGTTGGCGAACTCTGTGGTTGTCACCAAAATTCAAGATGCTACTCAGCGCGACTTGGCTGGATACACAATCGGGTCGCAAGAATTGAACGGTTTGGTCACCAACCCAGAACCAGGGACGCTCTCTGAAATGACATGGGCCATCCAAGCAATCCGTGGCCGACCTGTTGCATTCAACACCCTCCGTCAAGCCGTCCCAAAACCCGGCGGACCGGCTCGCACCAGCCGTGTGCTCACCGACCAGCAACTCACCGACACTGTCAAAATCACCCAAAAGCTCGAAATCACCTACTGTGCTGCAAAGGCCGGTGGCAACAGGATTGGCGCATGTGAAGACGTTCCTTTTGAGCCTGTAGAAACAAAGGAGGGCGCACTGGATTTGGAGGTCAAGTACCTTGAAAATGGCCACTATGTTTTCAAACAAATCCGTGAGTTCCACGGTTAAGTAGCGGAATATTGAATGTATACTGTATGCCGTCCTTGATGGACTCATATTGATAACCATTGCAATCGCTATAATAGCTCATCTAGTACTAATATCTTATAGAATCACAATAGAGCACATAGAGATAGAATAGAATAGAAATTAAGAGTGTAGTAGAAAAGTATAGACTAGAGTGCAGTGTTCTACACCACAATAAAACCTGTTTCTTAAATGTTTAAAGTTTTTGTCAAAGAAAAAAGCCCATGGATCATAACTGCCTCAATAATGTTTCGAGTGGTTTCTAATCGCCGTACTTTGTACAGCTTGCATTTGTACGGATGCGAACGTTAATCATGTACCATCGTACGGTGTTCGCGGGCGAGGATTTTGAGACTTGCTATTGGCCCATCATTGGGATTGCGTCCGCTGAGCGGATCTGTAAGCATCCGCAAAGAAGGGTCTACTCACACTATGCATTATAAGATGATCCGCTAAGCGGCCCATAGACCTTCGCGCACAGCTCTTCCCTTCCGCCCACAGACAAGCCCTGTTCGGCTGTCCTGTACGTTCAACCAGCACAGATTATAGTGCTAAAATGGGCGGAAGCGGAAGCGGGTAGGCATAAGGGGATAGAGGTCATGTCGCGTTTCGTGCATCAACACGACTGGTTCACGAATACATTTGTGATGGTGAGGTAAGCCAACTCATCTCAACTTTTTATCCAATGTCCAGCCATTCTTTTATAAGAAGGAGAGCGGACGAGGAAAAACGTTTCCCTTCCGCATACCGACATTGGCAACTAAAGACTGCGAAAAGATGCCCGGCAACCATACTGTATCATTTCTGAATGCTCCTCTAGGAGGATCTCTGCTGGCACCAGCATGGACATCTATTACAAACAAGTTTTCGGACAGGAGCCTATTTCTATATGGGACTTTCTCGGTCCAGTTCCTTGTCTTCTGGATCCCGTCCCTCCTCTACCTCCTCGTTGACGTGTACCGGCCCTCATTCCTTCATCGCTACAAAATCCAGCCAGAAGTTCATCCCCCACCCAAGCTTCTACGTCGGTGCGCTCTTTTGGTGCTGTTTAACCAGTTCTTTGTTGCTGGGCCCCTGTTATGGCTGACATATCCGCTCATGCTACAACGTGGCGTCCATGTCTCACCTACACTTCCGTCGCCCCTGGAAATCATGCGGGATTTTACGATATCCTTGATCGCGGAAGAGATTTTATTTTACTACAGTCATCGGCTACTTCACGCACGACCAATTTACAAGTATATTCACAAGCTTCACCACCAGTTCACGGCACCCGTGGGCATGTCGGCCGAGTATGCCCATCCAATTGAGCATATCCTTTCCAACATTGTCCCTGTGGTCGTCGGTCCGATCTTGATGGGTTCGCACCTGGTGACTATGTGGCTCTGGCTTTCTATGGCGCTCTTTACCACTGTAACAGTCCATGCTGGGTATGATTCGCCTCTTCATCGCGGGATCGCTAGGTTCCATGACATGCATCATGAGAAATTCACGAGTTGTTTTGGGGTTATGGGTGCGTTGGATTTGCTGCATGGGACAGATCATGCGTTTAGAGAAAGGTATGGGGGAATTGGCTGGGTTAAGGTACTACTAGGAGCGGACAAAGGCAATGGAAGCTTGGTGAAGGGGAAGAAGGCAGAATAACCAAGGTTAGGATATAGGTTTGCTTAGGTTTTTTGAGCATCATGTAGGTCTCTTCATTAAGATCGTCTGTATTGGTCATGTTCAGTAAAATAGATGCTGTTGTCTAGTAAATGTCCCTTGGATAGTGATTGTGGGCGATATTCATACGTGATCAAGTTCCATACTCGTGTGCAGGTGGTAGACTAGGGACAAATCCTCCCTCCAACCCACGATAGCCGGTTCTAATTTACAATCAGCCAGCCTGTCCAACCAGAAAGGCAACCAGGGAAAGGGGATCCAGGGACAGCAAGTATAGGGGTGCTTTATCAATATGGACCAACTTTTATGAAATTGTCGTGCTGCTTGACATGCATTTCCATTGCATACACTCCCATCTATATTCACGCACTGGTAATAGTTTTATCACGTAGCTTTAGCTCAGGCGTGAATCCCTTACGGGAGCCCTGGGGATTGTCGCAATGAGGACCAACAGACGTGATATGATCAATTTTTCGACACTTTGTTGTTGCACTCGTGAGATAGCTGAATAGTAGTATCGGCGGAAATGGCGGTTACCTTCTCAACAGCTGCCCTCCACTATATCGTTTATGGCAAAGAATTTTATGGACGTCAGTTCATTGCTCATCACCGGAAATTTCCGCAAAACATTGTTGCAGGTGAAGATTTTCTGGGCGAGGCAAGATCAAAGGAGAAATTACTTTAATCATAATACGAATTTCCCTAAATATCAAATGCTATTTATTGCTTCCACATGTCACCTTACCCTTTCGCAAGGTTGGACGTTTTCGCCACGCAATTTCAGTTCTTCCCAGTCCATATCGTTATAATCCCTGCAGAAACTCCCTCTCGACCCTTTCCTTCAGCTCAGCGGTAAGCTCGAGCGGCCAGCGCTTGTACCAAAACGGGTCATCCCACGACCGATGACTGTGTTCCCAGGGCAACCCACTTTGCTTCCAAAAGCGCCAGACCGGCAAAAACCGTCGAAGACGGTCGAAATCGTCGTACCCACGATGCGCGACGTCCTGGAGGCCTTCGTAAATTTTGTGGTATTCGTCCTCGTATTTGAGTTCAAAGCCACTGTCTTTCCACCAGTGGAGGGCGTCCACACTGGGCATGGGACAATTGTTCGTCGCCTCTGCCATGCCACGCCATGAGTAGCGGCATTCCAGACCGCTGTCCTTCCACCACTGCAACATGTCGACCCTGTTCCGTCTCGTTGCAATGTCCATTGACGTCGCTGACCACCGGCATTCCAGGCCGCTGTCCTTCCACCACTGGAGGGTCAAAGTGCTATTGGCATAGTCCATGCTTTTCCGGGTCCATGACAGAGGCCAACCTGTAACGGATTTTTTGTTGGTAGACTACGGTAAAGACGACTTGGGTCTCCTAGCAGGTTATGTGGGTGGCCGTACTAGGAATCATAGTCTCCGAATCCTTTCTTTGGGCGTCGGTAGCGACTTGGGGGCGAGAGGCAAGGAGAGTCGGTTAGTTGTGAACCGAGCAGGATTTAGAGGCTTCGGTACGGGTGATCAGGCCGTTGAAGCGCTCTGTTAGGTTCCTGTTAACCTAAGATTGGAGTTGAGAAGCGAGTTATGGGGATTTTTTGTCGCTACGGCTTCTGCCCCCGACTTATTTTATTGAATACATCCTTTTTATACAAGATTCTTGGATAAACTGTTAAACTAAACTAAACTAATGGGTGTCGCTGCACCGCAACTGATTTATTGGTGGCGGTACCGATCTCTTCCTTTTCCGCACTGGCTCGGGCCTCCACAGGTTGTACGAGGCACGCTGAAATCTAATGCGCCAATTGCCATTCTCCGAACCGGTTTTTTCGGTCGCGGTAACCCAATCGGTGGAGTTGGTCACGCGATTCGTGCTTCCCGCGTCCGATTTGGGCTTACTCGCGATCTCTCGAAGACGTCCTCGTCGTTACATCCCCCCTTTGAAGAGCCAACGCACCGGCGCTCCGAGCGGGGGTGTTGGGACGTCAATTACCAGGTCGGTACCGGATCTGTGGGGTCCGCTTCATCTGCATCTTGGTTCACGACCCAGATGATACTGGCACGGCCACTGACGTTGCAACAAAACCAGATTTGATCTGTTGCGGTACGAACGATGGTACCCGGGGTCACGTCGGGGCCAGTTCTGGTTACGTAGAGGGCCGTAAAGGTCTCCGCGGCCCTTTTCAGGTTTGTCGCGCGGAAATGGTACTCCGCGTGCTCGTGATGTCGGGGTCTGGTGAGCCTTGCAGAGGCTTCCGCTGCGTTCGCCGTCCTTAGGAGCACCGTCCTAGCTGCTTCAATGACGGCGGACGCAAACTCGTGGGCGTCGTCGTTCGGCCAATCGGTGAACGGAGCCGTTTTTCGGCTTCCCGCCTCGTGTTGGGGAACCCCGCGGTCGAGCCAAGCGGCGCACGGAGCTGGGCGCCCTCTTTTTCCGGGTTTTTTCGCGTCAGCAACTATTCCGACCGCTGCTTCACCACCATCGGTGGCCTTGCTGTAGGGGTCCGCGATGTGGTTTGTGAGGGGCTGGCCCACCGCGTAAGGTTTCGGAGCGTCGACTCCCAGCCAAAACTCATGCCCTGGAGTCTGCAGCGGCGCGTTGGGGTTGGTCCGAAGCTGATGAACCCAGGAGTGAACCCAGGTAGCGATCGCAACCCCAAGGCGATCCAGCACGCCCTCGGCCTCGAAGTCGCCCGAGTCTTCCTCCCAAGGGTAGCCGGACATGTACGTGGAGGGTACGCTCACTCCTGCTTGTCCTCTGAGATCGGTGTTCATTGTGTTAGAAATGGAAGTTTTAGTTTCGGTGTCGATAGAAGGGGTTTGCGAAGCAGAGTGAGTGTGTAAGGGAAGTAGGTCGTGGGCGGTTGAAGAAGAAAAAAGAGGGGGAGCGTGCAGGGGCGTCCTTTTAAGGTCGTCGCCGGCTGATTTTGACAGCTCGGACGCGCGTAAGCGTGATCGGGAGGCTTGGTGTGGCGTTCTCGACTGGTGAGGTAAGCCACGCGAAACTGGTTTTCTTTCTGGTGAGAGGGCGTGATTATCACGTGAGCTATCGTCCGGATAAACCGCGAAGCATTGGTGGTCGGAAGCATAAGCCGTATCTTCCGGGGCGTCGCCTGCAAGGCTGACTACCAAAGAGTCCTCTACTAGCGCGCTAGTGGGAGCTCTGGATCTCCAGTACTCTTCTAAGGCTTCGGAAGCCTCTGTTAGGGCTTCCTCTGGTTCCCAGGTATCCTCATGGGGTGGGTATCCGGACCAACGTATTCGAAATTGACGTTTTCCGCGCCTGGTTCGATGGTCTACTATCGCTTCCACTTCAAACTCGCCATCTGAAGCGTCGGAATCCTCCGCTTGTGCTTCCGCGACCTTTTCCTCAGTTTCGGCGTCGACAGGCTTCTGGTACGGACGTAATTTCGATATGTGAAACCATGGATGAAGTCGTCTCATCTTGTCTGGCAGTTTTAACTCGTAGTTGTCGCGGAGAGGGTTACAGTCGGTCACCGTGACTGGTCCCAGCCATTTCGGAGCGATCTTGGACTCATACCCTGCTAGGTTTTTCGTGCTCAGAAGCACCTTATCTCCTCTCCGGAACTCCAAATGTCGTCGCGATAAATCGTAATATCTTTTCTGCGAATCCTGGGCTTCGATCATCAGATCTCGGATAAGGATGTTTAGGTCGCCGAGGTGTTTACAGAGCTCCTCCGCATCTGCATTTCTGGTTTCTGACGGCCTTTCGACGATGTCCGCCAGTGGATTGTGGGGCTCATAGCCTAGGTCCATTCTGAATCGCGTCATTTTTGTCGCCTCGTGTACCGTATCGTTGATAATGAATTCCGCAACCGGAAGAAAGGTGTCCCAGTCATCTAATCGGGTGTTGACCATTGTGGTAAGGACCTGCAAGACCGTTGCGTTGTCTCTTTCTGATTGTCCATCACCTTGAGGGTGGTAGGCTGTGGTGAGCTCTTGATTAATCTTTAGGTTTTTGCAGACCTCCTGCCAAAATCGACTCGTAAATTTGGAGTTGCGGTCCGAGATAATGGTCTCCGGGATGCCGTGCAATGGGACGTAGCGCTCTATAAAGAGTTCCGCGACCTGAATAGCTGTCGCAGTGCTCTTGAGGGGCCATACGTGGATCCTCTTTGAGCATTTACATGCTATTAACCAAAAGGCGTCGTACCCTCTGGAAGTAAGTGGGAGCTTGGTTACGAAGTCAGTCGTGATGACTGTCCAGCGTCCCGGAGCTGGTGGTATGGGTTTCAGCAACCCCGGAATCAGTTGCGGTACCCTTTTTGAGCGTTGACAGGTTTCACATCCTGCGCAGTGTTTTCTGAAATCTTGTGCCATTTTCGGCCACCAGACTTGCGCTGCAGCTCTAGCGTAGGTTCTTTCGAATCCGAAGTGTCCTCCCCCCTCGTGAAAAAGCTTGCGCACCTCAGGGGTGCAAGCAGGGGGCACGTAAAGGCGCCAAAGGTCTTCGGAGACTGAAAAACGGTGCCACAGCAGGTTATCTGCACGTTGCCAGTCCTGAAGAAAGCGCGTGTCGGCGGTAGTGTACGTGTCGGGGCTGGTCTCCCATAGGAGCGTGCGGGCCTGTTGGGCTATGGGGTGGAGCTGGCCGGTGAGGCCAGCGCGGATGGCGGCAATGAGTGCAGGCTGTAAGGCCAGACGAAAGACGGCATCTGCCAGTGTCGAGGAAGGTGTGAGAGCAGCTGGTGTGGTGCGCAGCCGTCGTCTTCCGCGTTTCGACACCCATATTTGGGTCGCGGTGGAGCAGAGTAGGGTTTCCGCTCCTAGTAGCCGTGAAAGTGTATCAGCGACAATGTGAAAATGTCCTGGTTTGTGAACGATTGTCATCCATTCGGACCAGTAACTAAGATCGAGGGCCCAGCGGAGAAGCTTACGGTTCTCGCCTTTGTATTTAGTGAGCCACAAAAGAGCTCGGTGATCAGTAATGACCGTGAAAGGCAGGCCTTCGAGGTATGGGCGGAGTTTTCCGAGGCCCCAAATGAGGCATCCGGCCTCGAGTTCGACGGGGGGGGCCTTCTTTTCCGAGGTGGTGGTGCCTCGGGAATGGTAGCACAGCGGGCGTTTAGAAGCATCCGGCTGTAACTGTTCGAGCGTGACATTAAATGCTGTGTAGGAAGCGTCACTGTGAAGGGTGTAGGGGAACCCTTTTCTGGGTGCCGCGAGCACTGGAGCTGTTGTCAGAGCCTGCTTGGCGGCTGCAAAGGCAGAGTTTCGGGAATCGGTCCATGAAACTTCACGCTTCGCGATAAATCTGCGCAGACCTTGGTCGGGGCGCTTGCGAGCAAGGCGTCCGACACAAAAGGGGTCAATGGGTAAGTCCGCCAGCGATGATTGGCGTAGATTGACCGCCGGTAGGTCTGAGGAGCTAGATTTCGGATGTTGCGAAACCTCAAATCGGGCTCCGGTGGCTGTGATTGTAGGGGCCACCGCCGTGTCGAGCATGGATGGTGAATTGAGCTTTTCAGCGCCTTTCTTCGGGTCAGCGCGACCCTTTTTAAGGTCTCGGTATTCGCGAACGCCCTCTTGGATAGCGTCTTGCAGGGGTCGGACGAGTTCCGCGTAGCGAGAAATGAATTGGGCGTAGAACCCTAGGAGACCCACGAATGACCATAGGTCACCTATGAATTTGGGTTGTGGCCAATCGACTATGGTTGCGACCTTGTCTGGATCGGTAGCGAGACCCTGAGAGGAGGCAACGAAACCGAGGGCCGTGAGCTGGTGAAAGAGCCATTGACACTTGTCGAGTCTTAGGGTGAGTTTGGCTCTGGAAAAGCGGTCGAGCCAGTCCGCAATGGCGTCTAGGGCTTCCGCGGCTGTCTCCGCTCGTGTGTGGATATCGTCGACGAAGTTGTTGATATTTCGCCATTTGGAGGGACCCAAGGTGTCGTCCATCACCCGACAGAAGTGCGAGGGGGCAGTCTTGGGTCCGAAGGGCATAAAGAGTGGTTCGTAGATGCCGTCATGGAGTCTGAGCGCGAGCCATTTGCGTACCGACGCATCGGTGATGGCGATTTGGTAGAATCCTTTGTTTGCGTCACCTCCCGATATGTATCGGAATGGGACTGCGACGATCCAGTTCAGGATGTCGAGCATGATGGGAAAGGGATATGGATCCCAGGCCATGCAGTCGTTGGCTCGGCGATAGTCGAAGGCTACGCGCGGGGGTTTGTCTGCATAGCGAATGATAACAGGATCGCTGGCAAAGGTTACTTCGGTGGTTCGTTTCCACCTCTGAAGCCCCATCATGGTGTCTCGCTCCGTCTCGAGGGCTGTCCGCTCCAACGGAGAGTACGACCGTGGCCTCGAAAGGGGTGGCGGAGCCGAGATAAATCGAGGCGCATAAGGAATCTTGGTGTAGTTCCCTATGAGATGACCCTCATAGCTGAAGGCTTGATGGAAGTGTCGTAGAATGTTGATTAGGGCCCAGACCACGGGTTTGGGTCGCTTGAGATCGACGTGGAAACGTTCCGCGTCTTTTAATTGGGCTTCGAAGGCCCCTGGAGCCCTCTCCGTAGAGTCGAGGTTCCATTTGTTCCGAAGTGTCTGCCATTCTTCTTTGGAAATGTTCTCTTCGGGGTCCGCAACCGAATTATGGGTCGCGGTGGACAGTTTGAGGCCTAACGGGACCGTTGAGCTAGCAGCGGTGGCCTCAAGAGGGTTTTCGATGAGAAAAGTTTGGGCTGCCACGCGCGTCTGTCCCGTGATTAACATGGTTAATCTAGACTTCTGAGCTTTGGCTTTGGTCAGCCGTGGCATTGACACATCCTTCATGAATTCACCCTGCTTGGTCTTGTATGGCGTGCCGCGCATGTGATCGGTGTCCAGCTCATCCGTTATGGAGCAGGGGATAAGGATGTCTGGATTCTTGAGCGTCACCGCGAAACTGGGTAACGGGGGTTCCTGAACCAAGGTTTGGAGTTTCAAATGTCCCAAAACGTCGTTGGCTAGGATGATGAGAGGTTTCCCATACGCGATGACCCGAAAGTAGGCGCGGAAAGTCAGGTATTCTCCGCCGCGGCCTCTGAGGGAAGTTTCGAGGCATACTGTCTTGGTAGATGAGATACGTCCACCAATGCCGTTGAAAGCCATCGTTTCCGCATCCTGCAAATCGGTTTCGGAGAACAGAAGGCCTTGGTACGTGTCGGAAATCAGAGACTCGCAGGCCCCTGTGTCTAGTACCACAGGTGCCCAGAGCTGCGCGATGACGGCTAGCGTCCAGCAAGGCTGCATTTGGGTCTTAGTCTGGCTTTTGAGTACATCGCCTAAATCTACTGAGTAGAAGGCGTTGATAGAAGGCACCGCGATCTCGAAATGGGGCGCGATGTCGTTAATTGTTGCTTCCGTAGCCTTGATCACACTCTCAAAGTGTTCTCTAGTTTTGTCGTTTTGTGGTTTTGTTGTTTTATTCTGGCGAGCAACTTGTTCGATAGCCAGCATGACTATACGCGTCCGTTCGCTCTCTTCGTGTCTTTGGAGACGTGGATGGTCTTTAACGTGCCGAAATTTGGGGTTTCCGCGACGATAATAATAGTCTGAGCGAACGATATTGCCTGTCAGGAGAAATGCCACCAGTTGCAGGTTGGCGTACGCATCAAAGATAACAGGATCTTCAGAGCTCCACATCAAGAATTTCTCGCGCTCGTCGAGCTTTATCCAGGCAAGGAGAATCAAACGAGGGGTACCGTCTTCTCGGACCTTTCGCAGGATTCGATCCTTGTCAGCTTCGGCTGCGGCAGCGATGTAGAGGTGGTGGGAACTCCACGCGACTGCGTAGGGGTCGTTCCCGAGGTGCCCGGCGCCTCGCTTCGGTTCTTTGGCGAAGAAGCTGAGCGCGCGGGGGTTGTTGCCCATCATCAGAGCCACTTGCGGGGTGCCCCAGATGATGGCTATGTTGTCCCAGACTCGGTCCCAGCCCTGCGTGGGCGTGCGGGGGTCCTCTTCCTTGGTCACCGTGACCTTGGAAAGAGGTGCGGTCATCAAAATTGTTGATTCCGAGTGCTTGGGTGAATGAAAGAACCCGATGGTGTGGAATCCTTGATTAGCGGCTTCCGTTCTTTCCAGTTCCGAAGCCGAAAAAAGAGTCTCGGTGGTAGCGGACGTCGAGTCCAGCTCCACTATGTACGCCTTCTTCGATTCCTGTTTGGGTTTCCAACCTGAGGGCATGGGTGCTCCATATGGTCCTTTCTTTCCATCTTCAGGATCTTTTCGGTTCGGGTTCTGCCAGCAGAAAACATTCCAATGCTTTTTCTGACAGAATTTGCAGGGTGCCGGTGGTTCCTTGTTGGGGTCCGGAACCATCTTCTGAGGACCATCGCGACCCTTTTCGGGGTTTCCGGTTTTATGCGGAGCCGTCTGCTTAGGGCCTTTGTCGGTTCCGGTCTTTTGTGACTTCTTCTGAGCTTCTGCAGCACCGCTGTAGCAAGGGTCTCGTTTTCTGGTGTCATCAGAGCCGAAATAAAGGCGCAGGAAGTCTTTTAATTTGGTCAGGTTCGTGACGTTACAGGATTTGACCATGATTTGGATGTCGCTGGGCAATTGTTCGACTATTAGGTCGAAATGCTGGTCAGCGGGACATTCTATGTTTGCCCGGTCGCCATAAGCGAGGCGCCGGAGATGAGTTTTGTGGTCGATGAACGCGAGAAAGCTGCGAAATTCTTTGGGGTTCGCATGGCAGCGCACATATTCGGTTTTGCACTTGGACTCGGTTAGGGGATCTCGGAACTCTCGAAGCAGTTCCTCTTTCCACCTTTTCCAGGTCCATGAGCGAGTTTCCTGGGCTTCCAGAGTGTAAAACCAAGCGTCAGCAGGGGTTTTCTCGGCTATCATGGCTGGTAGGAGCTGTACCATCCTGGCATCCGACGTTGCGCTAATGTTTTGAAGAAGTTGGACTTTGTTAAGCCATTCTTCAATGTCTTGGTTTCTTCTGCCCGTAAACTCGGGTACGTCCTTTGCTTTCAAGGAATCGATCTTGGTGTCGCTGGCCCACGGGGCCGCTGGCACTTGGATTGGAGGCACCGCACCTGAAAAACTTGGTTCGGTACGCTCCCTTGGTGTGTCCGCCGTTTCCCACGGGGTTGCGGACCGTTCTCTTGTAGCTCGTGCTATGGGAGGTTGTTCAGGCAGCGGGCGATGCGCTAGGGCTTCTAAGGCTCGTGCGAGGCGCTCATCCGCCGCTGTCTGACGTTCGGAAAGCCTATGAAGCTGTTCCGTAAGGTTTTGAGTTGCCAACTGCGTTGCAGCAGTCGAGCGGGCAATGTCTTCTTTTAACGCTGCCACTTCAGAGGCCATCGTGGCCAAGTTAGGGGCTTCCGGTTCGACGGAAGTGGTCCCTGAACGCCTTGGGCGTGTTGCGGGAGGGACTTCGACGTCCTCCGCAGGACCCTGACTACGAGTCTGGATCACAGGTGAGCGGCCTCGCGTTGGTGAGCGTTCGACCGGCATCATTCTCGGTTTCGTGAAGTTCTGTCTCCGAAACGAGAGAAAAGGTTTCCGAGTAGCTACCTGAGCGGATCTCGGTTTGCGCAAGAGTTTCGGTACGACCGAATAAGGTTTTCAGCTGAATTTGAGAGGGGAAGGCGGTTCGTCGCGCTTCTCCACCATGTAACGGATTTTTTGTTGGTAGACTACGGTAAAGACGACTTGGGTCTCCTAGCAGGTTATGTGGGTGGCCGTACTAGGAATCATAGTCTCCGAATCCTTTCTTTGGGCGTCGGTAGCGACTTGGGGGCGAGAGGCAAGGAGAGTCGGTTAGTTGTGAACCGAGCAGGATTTAGAGGCTTCGGTACGGGTGATCAGGCCGTTGAAGCGCTCTGTTAGGTTCCTGTTAACCTAAGATTGGAGTTGAGAAGCGAGTTATGGGGATTTTTTGTCGCTACGGCTTCTGCCCCCGACTTATTTTATTGAATACATCCTTTTTATACAAGATTCTTGGATAAACTGTTAAACTAAACTAAACTAATGGGTGTCGCTGCACCGCAACTGATTTATTGGTGGCGGTACCGATCTCTTCCTTTTCCGCACTGGCTCGGGCCTCCACAGGTTGTACGAGGCACGCTGAAATCTAATGCGCCAATTGCCATTCTCCGAACCGGTTTTTTCGGTCGCGGTAACCCAATCGGTGGAGTTGGTCACGCGATTCGTGCTTCCCGCGTCCGATTTGGGCTTACTCGCGATCTCTCGAAGACGTCCTCGTCGTTACAAACCGCTGTCTTTCCACCACTGAAGAGTGAGGGCGGGCTTACCACGAAAAGCATCATCCATGTAGGGGAATCTGGGAAGCTCATCAACAGGATATCCAATGTCCTTGAGCCACTGCAAGACCTGGACCTGGCCATTGAAGGAAGCAGTATAGTACGGGTTCTTCCTCGGATGGAATCTGGGCAAGCTAGAAGCCCAAACCTGGAGGACGTCCACATGACCCCTTTCAACGCCGGCGTCTTGGAGCCGGGAGAGGGAGGAAGGCGAGGGAACCCCACCTACTTTCCGCCAACGGGCATCCCACCAGCGGAGCAAGTCAGTGCGGGCGAGTCTGGCAGCTTCATGCCACGTGCATTGCGGCAGTTCTGGGATGGTGATGTCGCGCACAAGGATCCTCCTGAGGGTGACAGCGAAACGAAAGCGAGTCAATGGGTTCTGGACATAGAGAAGGATATTGTCGATGACCTCTCCGGGCAAGCGAGGTAGATGTTGTAACTGAGGGGTGGGTTCCGCCATTCCCAAGGACGAGCATGGCGATGGAGAGTTCACTGGTAACTTTGGGTCACCCCGACTGTGACTAAGCGCTGACAAAATCGTGACTAAGCGCTCTATTGGTCCAAGCAGCATTTACAAGGCAGAAAAAAAAAAAAAACAAAACAAAAAAAAACAGGAAATCGTTTTCACAGCCCAACATGTACCGCTTCGACCCGTACATATACGATAACGAAGGCACGTACACAGCCCTATGATCAGACACTTCGTCAAGCAAGCCCTGCAAAGTATTGATAAAAGCAATGTATGCATTCATCATTCCGCTCAACATGACGTTTGCTGCAGAAAGAAAGGGTAATACTTACAGGAGGAGTCCCCTTCGGAACATCACACCCATTGTTTGTATTGCTGTAAGTGCCGCAGTCGGCGCCAATCTCATCGTCGTTGGCAAATTTAACCATGAATTGGTCAATTTTAGCTCGACTGAACGATATCTTGTAAGTCCTCGGTACGCTATAAAATAAAAAGTCCTAAAAACCAGGTTCTCTCAGCACCTGCGAGCAGTTGACGGGGAAAAGGACAAGGCACTTACATAGTAGGAAATACTCGTGGTTGTCCACGGCAACCAGGGTGTGCGCTCTCCGTCCCGATCGCAAGCATTGTTGGGGAACACCCGGAGAGGATCCTTATCTTTTTTCACATACTGGGATCCCGATCATCAACTCCCGGAAGGACAAGGTCCCTATCGGTGGTTGGCTTGTTGGAGTCATCCAGGCAACCCAGTAATCCTAGATTTCCGATTCGATGAGGAAGACTCGCTTAGCGATTAATCGACTGGGACGACGATTCGGAGGCACGAGGATGTGGGAGAATGGATGGCAAACCCGCAATTTAAACCAAAAATGGGTATATTGTGATAACGTATGGAAATTGGTGTGAATCGCACAGGATAATAATGCGGTATATGTGTTTTACACCATAGTTTAATGTAGATTACACATGCGATGAACTTTGAGTGATTTACAACAGTGGAAAGAACGAAGATTTCGTCATCGGGAAGGTCGGTATCCCTCTTCCTTTTCAAACCCGCCTGAGCTTCGTTTTTCTTTCGAGGTTTGTAGAAGGAGCAAAGTTTGCTGGATGCCCGGCTATGGTCGGTGCCGTTGCATGTTGGACAACCCATGTCAGGATGGGCTAAGGAGGGAATGCCGCGACCGCGGCTATTTAAAATATGACGACCTAGTGACACTTTCAGTCGCCCACACACTAAGCATTAGACCACACAGTCCTCCGCAGCATATCTTCTTGGTTTATACTTCTGACGACCAACCCTTCATTCCACTTCACCACGGTGATATTTTGCAGATATTGGGCGCTTTGCTTCGCCCGTCTGAGCAGATCAACAGGAAACGGAAAGGTGATCGGCCCTTGATGAAGGTCATGTGATCGAGCTTACGTGATAGACCGTTTCAAGGAGTTGGTGTCATGATTTGATTTTCGAGCAGGCGCTAAATCTTGGACTTTTAACCTAAAGTGATGGATCCCGACAAGGAGAAAAAGTTGGATGGAGAGCGTCTGAACGACTGCGTGCTGGAAGGTTTACCGGAGAAACAAGAGACGGCATATCGGAAACCAGAGATCTTGGAAGGACTTGACCCGCACATTGCTTTGGCTTGTCTCCCATCTCCGCTTCCCTCACCTCCTGCTGGGGTGGACATAAACGACCCTCTCCAACTCGGAATTCATTACCACGACACGGGTGACATGTCAATCTCCGCGCACTATCTCTCCATATCGGCTCGACAGGGCCATGCTGTCGGCATGTATTTGTTTGCCATGGCGCTTCGGCACGGCTGGGGATGTACACAGGATATGCCAGAGGCCGTAAGATTGTTTGAAAGGGCGGCCGGTATCGTTTTGGAGGCTTTGCCTAGGTTGCAGGTTGAGGGAGCAGACGCGGGCACGGGATTTGACTGGGGAAGCGGCGCTGAAGGACAGATTGAAAAGAACATATTGCCGAGTCTTCCGGAAGCTGCTGAGGAGGAATTTTCACGTAGGCACTCTATCACATTACCAAGTCAATCGCCACCCCTTTCAAGAGCGGCCAGCTTGGATCGTCTTCCTTCACAGTCTTCTGGATCGTCGTCTGAAGGGGAATATAGTCCAGAGTCTCCACTTACGGCAACATCCCCTCCGATTTCCCCTACTACTCCAAAATGGAAGCGGTTTTCCCTTGCGTCGCTTACGTTTCCATCGCTTCGGCGCGCATCCACAGGTTCTCCCAACGTACCATCACCTATTACGCTACAGAGCGATGATGCCAATTCCCCCTCACCACCATCTCCCTTGACCCGTCAATTACGTGATGACTCTAACCGCCGACGTGATCAATTTGTAGTAGCTCGTTCCTTTCTTCCGCTCCCACTTTACGAGGTCGGCGTGTGCTATCATCAAGGATGGGGCGTACCCAAATCAAAGTCAACAGCCCTTTACTACTTTCAACTTGCTGCTCAATTAGGTGATGCAGATGCACAGGCAGAAGTTGGATATCTGTATTTAAGAGGAGGAAACGGCGTGAAGCGGGATAAAAAGCGCGCGGCGAGATGGCTCAGAGAAGCGGTGAAGGGAGGGAAGCGAATTGTGGGTGAGCAGTGGATTTGGAAGGAAAAGTGGGCAGAGGGCGGGGATGGTGGACAGCGCAAGTGGGGGAGACGCAAAAAGAAGCGTGAAAGCGCAGCCAAACCTGGTCTTGCTCCTTCTGGATCATGAATTATCGTTACCACCTATTATAATGTTGTTTATTTGTAATTTTTAATGTAGATAGGTATCTCATGCTCAAAGTACTATTAAAATCCCAAAAGTCGCAATTTGCTTTGAGCGGAACAATGTTGATGGCACAGTCATGGAAACACGCTTTGGTGTCCCAAAGGCCTCGTTTTTATTTTTAGAAGGTTTTTGAACACTTTTTTTTTTTTTTGAAACGTCTCCCTCGCGCGGCCGCCCGCAACGCTCCCTCCACGGCCGAAACAAAAACGACGGACGACGCCCGACAAACACTGTTGGGCAAGCAACCGACACGGCGGAAGACTGAGAAGGAAAACAGACGAAAGTGGGAAAAGAAGTAAGGCGGAGAGCAAGGGCGCATTTACGTGCGGCGGAGGGTTTTCTGTTCAAACAAAACCAACACGCAACCCTTCGTTGGAGCGTCTGTTCACGTATCGTTCGCAGTCAAAAGGAAGCAACACGTACCTTGTATCTTATTCTCTGAACAATTTCGTAAGGCTCCATAATGTCCGTCATGGGACCTACGGCGCCCATCTCGCTGGAGACCTTGCCTGCTGGTTCCGCATCTCCTCCCACTGCACCATGTCCTATCCCCGTCCCTATTCCCGGCCTTTCCTCTTCTGGCACCCTATCCGGAAAGGATGAAACCAACGTGAAGGCAGAGTGTGGAAGCCCACAAAAAAAGAAACTCAAGCTGGAGGGATGGGAAATTGACGAGGAGGAGCCTTTGGTTGAGGATGTTGCCCCTGCTGCTGAGGCTGAGATACTTGTCCAAGGGTCACCATCACATTCAGTATCGTGGACTGTCGCAGCGGAAAAGGGTTATAGAAAGACGTTTGGGGAAAGTTTTCCGTTTGACGGGCGTGGGAGAACACCAATTCATCTTGAACTTGAGGATGTCCATTGGCCGACCCAAGAGGACCAAGTGACTGGCACGAAAGCAAAACCGACAACCACATCAGGAGCACACGTCTTTGTTTTGGCTGACGGCCATGGCGGCGTGGAAGCCCCTCGGTTTTTCGTTGGAGGAGCTACCAGAGTCGTACGGTCTCTTCTTGAGTCTCGTTCTTGGGAATTTGACAAGGAAGAAGACAGAGTTGCCTTTCGTACTGAGATTCACACTGCGTTCCAAATTCTGGATGCCTCGTATGCCTCGCGAAAAGTTGAAGAATATCGAAGGTGGATGGATGCGGGAAGTGACGGAAAAGCCCGCCCGGTAGACGATGGCTGCACCCTTCTTGTGAACGTAATCCTCAATGGATGGATTTGTAATATAAATGTTGGAGACTCGAGGACAGTGGTGGGTGCACGACGGTCTGCAGAGGAGGAGGCTGAGGCTGAGGCTGCGTCCTTGGCATTTGGGCTACCGCCTTGGACGCCTGTGTTCTCGTCGAGCGATCACAACATGACGCATCCCGTCAAGATTCACCATATTAACTCAACCGGAGGTCAATTTGTCTACCCATACGGAACCCTCCGCACCAAGTCTGTGCAATCAACACCATGCCCCCCTTCCCGTCCTTACACTGAACTAGTTGGGATGCGTATTTACCGACCGCCAACTCCGCAAATCCGTGCTGTGGGTGTCTCACATCGAAGGACATTGAATCTCTCGGCAACGATGGGCGACTTGCTCTTCAAGGTCGAGCCAGCCGTTCTTAGCTGTATCCCCGACGTAGAGTTTATAAAGCTAGAAAAACACCGGAACTATGTCGTCGTAGCGGCAACCGACGGTGTTTGGGATCATATGAAGATCCAGAACACTGAGAAGCAGAATGAAATCATTGTAGATTGTGTCGGAGGTTGGTTAGATGGCAAGTGGGATCAGCTTTCGATTCAAAGAGAGTCGAAAACGACCAGTGGGATGCTTGCGGATGGCATAGTCAACAACAGCGATCCCGATTCGCCTTCGACACTCGCAGGTGACAGTCCGTTCGAAGAAGAGTGCGATGACCCACCACAAACAATGGCGCCTCCCTCTCCCTCCCCTCTCCCGCCGCATCGCCGTCTTCATCTCGCGTCGCGCATCCTCGTCGAACGTGAACGTCCTGAAGGTCTTGCAGCACTGGGGTCTGACGGGGTTTGTATCCATCCGGATCTATATTTCCCCGGACAAGTACGGTACGATGATGCCACAGCTTATATCATTCACCTACGAGGACAGTTGTGATGGTTTCCGTAGTGGTGTTCCTTCTTCTATGAGTTAGAGTGGAGTGTATTTATTCAGGTGGTTCTTGCCACCAAATCCGTTTTTCGTTTCTTTTTTTGCTTTTTTTCTGTACACAATACGCTGCTTCGTCGACCCGAAGGTGGGACTGATACTTTAGATTCTGTGCATGTATCATCTAGATATTTGCAAGATGTGACGTGGACGGAAATAAATCTGTAATTTAAACGTTGATTGACAAAAATTTTGTGTTCTGCCGCGGCAAGATGGTTCCTGGTCGGGCTGTTGGCCCAACATCTCTTGTTTCGTAGTAATGGAGGAGGACTTGCCGGTTTCGATCTTCAGTTTTTCCTGGTCGTGCATGGACTAATAGTTTACGACAACTTGGACATGCCAGTTAGCAAGAGACCGGTGATCAGTGGCATGAATCAATCCTTGTGAGCAGACTAATTCAGAGTGAAGAGCTATGAATGAGCAGAGCTTTTGCGTTCTGCCGCGGTGGTCGGGCTGTTGGCCCAACATCTCTTGTTTCATAGTAATGGACGAGGACTTGCCGGTTTCGATCTTCAGTCAGTTTTTACTGGCTGGACTAATAGTTTACGACAACTTGGACATGGTAAAACGGCAGTGAGCATGAGAAGGGAGATCAGTGGCGTGAATCAATCCTTGTGAGCAGAGTAAATCAGAATGAAGAGCTATGAAAGAGCAGGGTGCTTGAATATCCGAAACAGCTTTATTTACTCTAGGTTCTCAATGCTTTTAAAAAGCCGTGTATATATGTCATGTACAAACTAATTTAAACTACATTTTCTACACAAAAGTGTCAAGGTGTCTATTGATAGTAATACCCACTATATGGTCTTTGCTGTTGCTGAGAAGTTTGGGGATGATGAGCAGCCGAATCATGATGAGCAGGAGCAGGGGGCAACGGTTTGTTTTCGACGGGGGCCGACAGAGCGTCCGTCAACCTGGTCCGGCCGAACGTAGGATGTTCGATCATGCCAGGCCAGTTTTGCTGCTTGTGGTGCTGATAAGTGTAGTCTATGTGTTCTGAGGGGCGGTGTGTTAGGTGAGCTTGATTCAGACCTTCTTCTGATGAGCTTGTGAAGCGGTTTCGGTGAAGTTTTCGACTGGGGAGACCGTATTTTCTGAATAAACAGATTCCGAGCATGGCCACGGCGATGGCGGCTCCGGTGATGGAGAGGGCTATTGTGATGGGCTTCGGCAGGCTGGTGTATGGGGTTGTTAAGGGATCTTGATTTTGCTCCTGGCCGATTCCTGTTGATGTTGGGATTGGGGTGGCGGATGCGGGCGTTGTGCGCTTCGTGGTCGTTGTAACTACGGTGGGAGTGGTAGCTGGGGGTGTTGTAACTATGGTGGGAGTTGGGCTGGCTATGGTGGGCGTCGTTGGTACGGGAGTTACTGCTGAATTCACTGGTGGAATGATTGGGGTTGTGACGACGGGGGGTAGGGTTGGGGTTGTGACAACGGGAGGTAGAATTGGTGTTGTCGGGCTTGGAGAGACAGGAGCAGCAGTTGTGCTAGGGGCGACGACAGGTGGTAAGGCGGGTGTCGTTGTGGGGTCGGTGGCATTCTGGCATGTTGTTGGGAGAACGAAGAGGGCGAGAAGGGCAAAGACAAGGAACACGAGCGATGTCTGATTCCGCATCTTTGACAGGTGGCTGTACTTAACTTGTTGGCAGTCTAGTTGTTCAAACGGACAGGATGTTTTGCAAGTTCTGTCTATATATGTAGATCTGGTTTCCTATGCATCATCTGGAGAACGGATGAAAAGCACATGGTGGGTAATCTGAGCAGAAAGGGGATGGTATCTAAATATAGAACGGACGCATTAAGCTGTGGTTATGAATAGAAACAACCGCTGACGGCTGAGCGGAACTGCTTACGAGCGTCCGCCGGCTGCTGAGGTTGGTCAAACCCATCGACTGTGAACCGTCAGTGAGGTTTGGATGGTGGATTACGAGAAATTCGAAACGAGATTACGAACGAGATACCAACAGCCATGGCAGCAACCAGCGCAGATCCTTCACAGCCGTTTCCCCCGCTGGAAGACTTTTGTCGTAATCTTTCTTTTTCTTTTAGCAAGAGTCTCCCTTCAGAAGCCAATCGAGCCGAGGGATCACAATGGCGCATCTCATACCATCGCCAAGTGGAATGTATTCGCAATCAAGCAACCTACACCCTGCGTGCCCTGAAGCAGATGCATGAGAACATCCCATCCGTAGACAGCACAAGACCTTTCCGCGTGGGTCTATTTATTGCAGATGTGCTGCCCGCAACCGGCGAGATGATGTGTCGTGTGCTGCTGGATGCCGTTTTGGATCAAACAAAGATTTTAACAAAAAAAGATATCACGATTCTCGGGCGACGGTCGGATATCATTAGGAGCTCTTTGGCAGAGCGGCATAAAAGTCTTGATATACTCTGGGACTGGGACAACCAAGAGGTACTCTTGTTATTTCCATAAATGTCTGCAGTATGAGATTACTGAATGAGGGAATCAGTTTCTGGCACAGTTTAGCGTGGTCATTCTTTTATCGTCGTCAATGCACATGCCGCTCATCGAAGAACAACTACGAACTCAAGCCCGTTTTCCAGACGTTCCACCGACAGTTTTCTTCTCAACGGCACCTGGCATAACTCGTCAAAAACTGGTAAAGTTGCTGAAGACAGACTTGGTTATACAGCCTCTTTGGCATCATGAGCCGGGACCAGAAGATGAGAATGCTGAACAACACGTTGGTTGCTCAAAGAACGAAGCATAGGCTTTGGAGTATTTGAACTCAAGTACTTTATTCTTGGTAGGCGTTGTGGTCGTCCAAGCAAATTGCCCCTGGACCTTTTTTACCTGATCTTGGTATATACATACAAGAAGCATCTTGTGCCAGTATCATGCACGGCAGTACTCAAATCCTCTTGCGTAACCAATAGATGCTCTTTCTGTGTTGCTCACAAAATATTCAAAAGCCTACGGACTTGACGACACCGCTGCGACAAGGTATGTTGTCAATTTGCCAATATACTATGGGGAGTTTTAAAGTAAAATAGTGGCAGATTGGTCCAGAACGTCATCCCGACTACAGTGGCGGATGGGTGGGTATTTTAGCTGACTTACTGAGTTACCTGAGCGTCGCATGGTTTCTTTCCCTCACCCCATTGTCTTCTCCATTTGTTCATCCCCCAAAAGGCTGAAAGAGTTCAATGGGCTTTCGCTTTCAAGACTGGCTTATCAATAAAATATATCATCTAATTGTAATGCCAGGTGCATGTTACACACTTTCGGATAGGTCCAGATGCAGTGGCTGATGGGTGTAGTTCAGTGCCTTGCACATGCCTGAAGGCACTACACGGGCAAGTTATCAAATTGCATGCACGATGACGAATGCAGTAGGGATGCAATTCAGTAGGACGGGCCGATCCCGAACGAGCTTGACACAATTGGGCTGTTCTGGAGCATATGAAAAATAAGAAAGACAAACCTACCACAGCCTACCTGGGCTCGCCAACAAAGTGGCGGAATCCACTGAGTGCACACACAATATTTGAGGCGAGACCATTGATTCTTGTTTGCGTTTGGAGGCGGCAAGCGCGTCCTTCATCCCATTTTAACGCCCTCTTCAAGGATCACTGACCTTGTGGCCGGTAATCCCCAATCGGTCCAGAAGGCCCCGTGGGAGGGGTTGTTCGAACGAAGACCAAGCTAGGCAATTAAGACATCGCTCTGAACGAGCACGACGACAAACATCCTCTTTCTGGTTTCGGTAATCGACGCCAAACAAGAGTGGCCAAGACTTGTGCCATATCGATGCGCCAAGCGATGTCGTCCTTTTGTCACCTCCCCTATAAAGCGTGACGTGTGACATTCCTCCCCATTAGTAGTGTTATTTTTTTTATAATACTCCTTTTGCACACTCGGTACGCATGTCTCAACAAGACAATGATCCACTCAAGAGGCTCGCCGCAGCACTTCGAGTAGCGCGCTATGGTGCTTCGGAGGGAACCTCGACAGTTTCACGAATGTCCACAAAGTACAGCTCCCGCAGACGATCCACAACAAGTATATCAAGTGTCGATGGTCTGCCGCACCTTCAGCTCCATGTACGCAAGACATCTCATGTGATCCGACAAGTCTTCTCAGAACCTGCATCTCCGTCAACGACACCGCGAACCCCTTTATCACGGTCCCGTGCCACGTCGCTTTCGTCGGCATCCCCGGTACGCAGCAGCGAGTCGAGCTTATTGTCTTTGTCGTCCCCCGGATCCTGTTCAACGTCATCATCACGGCGGGTATCATTTGGAGAAAGCGTTGTATACACATTTGATAAGAGTGAAGCGCCTAGCCGTTGTTCTGGGAGCATTACCAGTTTGAACGCTGGGGCAGCCAGCACTCCCGTCAAAGGGTAAATGTTTCATTCTCCATAGATATGTAGTTTACGCTATCTCGCGGGCGAGAACCGGAATTGTATTCGAAATTACAGCTTTATATACCCTACGCATTGTAACGAGATCTGGGTGACTGAGGAAAGGATAGACGTAGTAGTCGTAGGACAGTGTACTTTTTTCAAATTTAGACCTGGGGACTCTAGTTGTGACTAGCGATTTTTGCGCACGTTGAGCGGTGTTTCTAAATTGTCGTTTGTCGATTCTCGAACAGAAGTCCTTTAGACCAATCACACTTTCAGTTCGGCCCTTTTGACTACTTTTGCATTCCTTCCATTTTGCAGGCAAAATTGCCCCCATTGACATGAGCGAATTCTACCAAAGGGTAACCCCGCCAGCGGAAACGGCCACGTTTGAAAAAGGCCCGAGAGCTCCAAGCGGCAAAACTGCCTGGCTCCCGTAAAAAAATCGTCTCAGCACAGCCAAAAGGTCGACGCTCATCGACATGTTTTGTCACCATTCCGAAACCTTCTACGCGTATTCCTACTCGCCCAAACTTTCAGCAAAAACATTTCAGCCGGGGAAGGAGAAAGCTTTTGTCAAAAAGTAATTTCAAAGCGAGTCGGTCCCGTCGACTGGCGAGTTAAAGCGCCCGCCGTCGCAAAAAAAGAAAAGAAGAATACTTTTGCACGTTTAACCGCCGCCAGGCAACCTTTTCCACTATTTTTTTAATAAAAGAACCTGCAGAAGCGATCAGTTCCCTGCGTCTTTTTACGATCAACTTGCCCTTTTGAAAATTCGTCCAGTTGAAGCTTGGCATGAACCCAATACAACCACCGCCGCCGGCAGCTCGCCAAGGGCCACTACGCTTGTCGGACACATCGACTGTCGTTGACATGCACAGTGAAGAACGGCCACCATCACCACGGTTGGATCCCTCTGAAAAGTGCCCTGACGACACGGAACCTCATCATCATACCCACTGCTCCCGTGCCCACTCCTTCAGTCAACCCAGTTTAAATCGTAGCATCCGAAGCGTCACCAGCATGCGAAGCGTGCGTAGTGTGATAGAACGAGGGAGTGGGTTCTATCGCAATTCCATTTTTCCTCATGTATGGAACAGGACGGTCACAGTTCTATGGATCGTGACAGGTAATGCCTAACATGACAAGTCCCATTACTTTTGCAAACCCTAAACATTTGGGTTTTAGGCATCGTTGTTACCCTGTACGGCTTGATGTACCTCGGTTCTTCCTGGGATCCTCAAGGGAAGCTTAACCGGGTACCTGTAGGAGTCTTCAATAACGACATTGGATACTCCACCCTCCCATCCCTCAGCCCAGAATCGCAAAATATCGTCGCAGGATTGACGAGAAACAATACTCCTATGGGGACACTTCTTGAGCAATACATATTCGAGACACCCGCAGTAAACGGTCGACTTAAATGGACAAACATTAGTAGTACGGGGTTGACATATCAGGATGCTATTGATATGGTAGGTTGATTGTGAAAGGGCACTCTTTCGAGGTTTTCGCACTAACTGGTCAATATCAGGTGGACCGCGGCGACTATTGGGGAATTGTTTATATCCCAAGCAATTTTAGTGACAATTTCCTGACCAACCTTCGTCTGAACCGAACTGCTGAGGTCAAGCCTCAGACCCTATCAGTGGGTAAGCATCAGTTACAACCCCGTTTCTATTCAGGTGCCATGTCTCATGCATCCCTTGTTCAGAATACATATGGGATCAAGGTCGTCAATTCACTATTGCCAACTTTGCAAACCAGGCTGTGTCCGGCTCGCTCTCAGGGCTATCCACCAGCCTAGCACAAGCCATGGTCAACGCTACCGCATCCAATCCGACTCTCCTCGATCCTGCCTTCCTCATCACTCCCATCGTTGTCGCACCCGGCCGCCGACATGCCGTCGCCAAATTCGGTATCAATCTAGCAACATACATCCTTCCTCTCCTCATGTGGCTGAGCAGCATGATGTCGGTTACAGTAGTGAACAAGCTACTGCTTGCTCGACTCCCCCACCTTACTGGAGTGAAAAACGCCCACGGTCTGCCTCGCGCCAACTTCCCCCCAATACAAATCGCACTAGCTTCGCTCGCACTTAGCGGCTGTTTCACACTCTTTCATACCTTCTTGGGATGGGGTATATTTTACATCCTTGGCGGAGACGAAGCCTTTACCTATGGAAATCCTGGCCAGGTGTTTGGATTCTTGTGGTTCTTTTCTTATGCCTGTCTGGGATTTATGTGGCTTCTCTGCGTCGTTTTTGGTGTTGATGGATTTGCGGTACGTATTGTGCAATATTCCGCGATTTTGCCTTGACCAGTTATCTCATATGTTTTCGCCATTGCAGATCCCAGCATCACTACTACTCATTTTCCAGCTTACCACTTCGGGTGCCATCGTAGACCACGTTGCAATGGCTGGTGCTGTCAAAATAGGCGAAGGATTTCCATTCTACTGGGGCCTGATAGGCATGCGAGCATACCTGCTTGGGACGAGAACACATTACCTTACACGAAGCTACTTGATCCTACTTGCCTGGGCCGTAGGATGTACAGCCTTGGCGATTTTCCTAGCGACTCGTCAACTGCAAAACTGGAGAAAGGCACAACTTGTGAAGCAGGCAGTGGATGGATTAAATGTCTTGGGAGGAACTGTGCGGGCGGTATGACGATAGAATCCTGTCTATGGAAATTGGTTTTGGATGTATGTAGAATATTTAGAATTTATGTTGCTAGTCCCCTTGCATCTGCGCTGCCACTTGGGGCTCTGTATATTTCAGCACCGGCGCCAGATGCTGGGATGTAGCCGCCAAGCTAGCGGCCATGTTTGTAAATCACTTTTAAAGTTTTCTATAGAGGATTATTAAAGATTTTGCGAAATATTCAATGCTGCCCTGGTCTGCTGCTGCTGACATCGTCCATCTCGGGATTCTGTCGTCCTTTTGTGCTCCTTCAGAGATGATCCACGGCAAGAGGTGATTTCGTAACGTACCCACTTGGCCAGTGAAGCAATCCCATGCTAGTTATCACAAAAGGCGAAATGAAATTAAGGATATATCGTCAGTGCACTTGTCAAAAGGAAAACGTCATTCCAATGCATCGAAAATAGTAACAGCGTAGCTGTGAGGTGTGCTAAATCGGGACTCCATCGATCCTCACATCAGCGTAGATTCACTGCGTCTCTTCTGGAACATCTATAGAATAAGCGATAGGTCCGCCATAAAAGGCAGGACCTTTCTCCACACTTCGTCTTGCAAACGATTCAGCCTATTTTCTTACATACCTCACCGTCTTCAACCATGTCTTCTCAAGTTTGCGGCAAGTGTGATAAAACGGTGTATGCGACCGAAAAGGTTGAAGCGGCACAAAAGTGGTATCATAAGGTAGAGTGGTTTACAATCGGTAATGAAGTAACATGGCCATTGTGGCCACCGTCAGTCAGACTCAATGGTTCTTTTATATGTCCATGCAGGGATGCTTCAAATGCAACGACCCACATTGTAATATTCAGTTGACTCTGAAAACGTTCCAAGTCGTCAACGATAACGTTTGGTGCGGTAAGCACGCACCGAAGCCGAATGCTACCTACGGTCTAGACACGGTGCAAACTCAACATGCGCTGAGTGCCCCGAAAAAGACCACAGAAGGTCAGTTAAGAAGATGCTTTTCAAAGAATTTAGCATTCAACCTAACGTCTTTTCCAGGTTTGCACAAAATCCAGGTCGGCACGGGAGAAAGTCCCACATACGGGCTCGATACTGTGCAAACACAGCACGCTCTAAGCGCTCCAAAGAAACAAGCAGAAAATCTACACAAAGTTCAAGTTGGAACCGGCGAGCAGTACAGCTATGGACTCAATACACTGCAGACCCAGCATGCGTTAAACGCTCCCAAGAAACAGGTTGAGAATATTGGCCATGTGAAGAAGGGAGATGGCTCGACTGTGCCCAGGTCGGTGAATGACAAGCTTTCACATAGCCAGGAGGAGTTGTACGAGGATTCCAACGGCCAGGACTCTCTGCAGGAGGAGATCGCAGCGTGATTTGGTTTACTAGTATGTTACATAGCAGCTCTAGCTGTGACATTCAAGAAGGCATGATAAAGATGACGTGCTCTTGTTCACTCATTCCCAGATAGTTAAACTGTAGCGATAATTCTCATATAATACCAATAGTGTTTCTTGTGCTTTTTTTTCACCTGGACATTTGTCCAAATGCATACTCAAGTCTGTTCAAGTCACCTTAAGCAAAACCTATAGAGACGAAACATAATGGCCTCGCCATCAAGGGCATCAATAGACTCATATTGATTTTCGTCACTGTCGAGCATTGGCAAATCCGCACGAGCCTATTCTCTCCCGGCTATGTTGACCCAAGCCTACTGTGTATAACTGCGTTAAGCAGCAACATCCGGAACCTTATTGACCTGAACCGTCTGGCCAAAAGAGTGGACCAGCTTTGTCCTGTCCAAGTTGTCCAGCTTCGTGGCAAGCCTATCGAATGCACCAGGTGCTTCGGCGCTAATAGGTGGACCATTCTGTGGACCGGTTAGAGACAAAGTCAAATGTCAGCTCCTAATTCTCGGCTGTATGAAGCGATATATACAGACCACTATCTTTTCGTCAAGAGCAGTGCAGCACACCCCAGGCTTCTTCCCATTCCGATAATCACGTATCATGTCGCGAAGAATGCTCATCTCTCGCTGCATGCCTGCCTGCACATCTTTGGCTTCTTCCTTGTATATATCCAGTTCAATTCTTGCTGTCGAGCTTTCGGCACGGAGACGTATAATTTCATCTCCTAGGGCTTCCTTCTGTCGTTCAAGGTGCATGACCCGGTTCCGAAGGCGAGTGATTGTTTTGTCATCGGTGGAGGAAGACGATACTTGTTCGGCAGGCTTTAAAGTTATGATGGGTCGATGAGTCTCTTTTGTTGGGATAAAAGACAGAGCAGATGCCACCTTTTGTTTTTCGGCTTCCGCTGAAACTCTCTGGCGTGTCATCTCAAACTCCCGAGCTTGGTCAATAAGTCGGTGCTTCTCTTCAAAGTACGGTCCAAGAAGATTAGATCCCAACGCAACAAGTGTTGAAACACCGATGCAAAAAGCTATTCCAAAGAGCGTCGACTCGGGGGTGGTGTGTTCAACGGACATTCTGGTATGTACAGGGCGAGAACAAAGTCACGCGGACCTTATTTGAATGCGGCTGTTGCTTTGAAGACATTGATGATGTTGACATATTTTGTTGGGGATCGTTGACGACAGTCTCGTGAAGAGCAGGGAAAAGTACAGCGGGTCGACCCTCGACTAACTGGGTGTCGGAGGATTCGCTTACCAGAGCGTGCGTAAGCTCAAGTCACGCAACTGTGCCGCTGACCACCAAACTGCGAGTGTGTTTGGCATCTTGGAATTGCTCATTCTTTTTTGCCATGACTATCCAGCCATCTCCTCCAGAGCTGCTGCAAGACTCTGACGCGCAACTGTCGCATCCACAACCACTAGCGGCTCCTCCTTCGCTGGGTGGGCTTCTATTTCAAGGACCACCTATCATTGCGCACGGTGCGGCGACGAATGCGCCTCCGGCTGGAGAGTATGGAACTCCCCCGCCAACGACGGGATATGGCACGCCTCCTCCTCTCCTTCCCCCCGCCCCCACAGCTGACAGTAGTGCGCCTCCACGAACAGCATATTCTGCATACCCAGAGCACTTGAGGAATACTCCTCCGCCACAAGGTCACTATCAAGCTGGCGTTGCCGGACTGAACGGTTGGAATGATCTCCCGACGCATATGGTTACGGGAATTGCGGTGAGAAAAAAAGGACAATCGGGATCTGGTACCACTTCCGGAACAGCTAGTCCGGCGCCAGTGGCATGTTTGGACGATCCGAGCTCAGTCTTGAACGATGTGGCAAATCCCAAGGGTTTGATTGTGGGCGCATTTACTGCAGCTATGGACAGAGTGAAATCTGGTGTGGTAGAGGTGAGAAGGAATTGAATGGGTATGATGGGCCGCTGCTTTGGCTGTATGCTCATGATTGTCCATGTCCATGTATTTAGGCGAGCCAGCGGCGGATGATCGAGGATACGGATAAGCGACTCGAAAATCTCTACGAACGGCTCTCGGCGGATCAGGTGCCTAATCATGTATTGGCTTCAGCAGTGCAACTTGCAACAGGTATGGCAATTCCTCATCTTCCTTTATGGGTGCCGTTTACTCAGACCTGTCGGCTACTCAATCTAGCACTGAATAGCAAGGACTACACTACGTGCCATTCCATTGTCATGGCGTTGATGACGACAAGTTTTGATCAGGAAGGAAAGTGGGTATTGGGTGCCAAACGACTGGTGGAATTGTGTCAGCGAGTTGGGTAAAGGGGTTTGCTTGGTTGGGCATATTGATATTTTTGAATGAATGCGGCTCTCAAACCGATGCAAGCAGCGAGTTGAAGTCTTAAAGACTTGCCATGACTAGCCAGTCAAATTATGGGCCGTTCTTTAACGCATCCATGAATGGTGGCGGCACCTGTTTTCTACACCTGCAGGGTCGATTGTTCATGGTAACCGAAGATCGAAGGCATTGAAAGGAAAGCTTAATGCATGGAATACAAAGATTTGCTGCCCAAAAGATGTTCTCTTGGATCCATTGACATGTTCCTCAAGTTGTTGAAAACAACCCCACCTCTGTGTCGCAGCAATGCTGCATACGCACCAGGATACCCAGTGCCCATGACCAGATTTATCTGCTTGAGGAAGTGTTGAGTGTCCATGGAGCAGTTTCCATTGCAGAGCTTAGTCATCATCTCACGTGCCCATCATGACAAAAGCCCACGACCGTCATCTCACGAGTTTATCCAGACTTTCGCCAACCTACGAGATTCCCAACGCCGGACGGGTAGACAGCTCAGAGCAACCTTCCTATTCGGAGGTTGTTATTGTTGCCATTCATTTATGTGAGTAGTAATACATGGTGTTGCAGCTACACTTGAGGGTATGCGGTACTCATTGGGCGGGTTATCCATTTTCCAGACAGGTGTTGGCGAGATCCACCTCACCTTATCGCAATTCCAGTGTTCCAGAGTTGAGTAGCGAAAGATTCCATATAACTCTCTGCGACAAAGAATTGTGCGATGGCGGGGGACGAGGAAGAAGGTGGGAACAGTGCTCAATTATCTATCGGAACTGTCTGCATTGGTTCGCTCACTGTTTCCTCGAAATGAAACGAAAATAGTGGAGATTTGCAGAGTGTGTCGGTGTCCCTCTACTCCGGACCAACCTCTCTATTACCCTTGCAAGTGTTCCGGGAGTATGAAATACGTTCACCAAGATTGGTAGGTACCTCACAACAAATCTAATCAAACCTGAGCTGCCCGTTGTATCATTAACGCTCCTCTTCAGCTTGGAAGAATGGCTCCAACATAGCAGGAAGCGACAATGCGAAATCTGTAATCATGCCTTCGCGTTCACCCCCAGTACGTGGCACGATTGACTTGCGCAGGTCCTTAAATCAGGCTACACCTAACTACTTGAAATCAAAAGTCTATTCAGACCGAGCACCCGAACGAATATCCGTGTGGTTTTTCTTGTCTATAGTGTCGCGCCGAATTGTGTCGCTTGCTCGCCTTTATCTCCGCGTGTTTTTCGCCGCGTTCGTGTGGCTCATATGGGTTCCGTATTTCACAGTTTGGGTTTGGAGGATCTACTTCAATCCACGGTTTCTCTTCAATTCTGTCGGTGCTGGGAGTACGATGGTTTGGCAAGCTGTTGCGATTTACAAAACTATTTGGGCGCCAGTAAACACTATATCCCCTGGAAATGAGACGAGAACCGATCTGATCGATGTTGTTGATGGGGTAGCTCATCCCAGCAATCTGAACGCGGCAGACTATCGAAAAATACTGAAGTACGTTCTAAAGTACGGTATCTATCATATTTCGTGAACAGATTTTGATCCAATGCGTTAGTACCTTTTTTACCGATGTGTTTGAGGGGCAGATTATAGCATCCGTAGCGGTTGTCATTTGTCTCGCGTTCCTGTGTTTGAAGGAGTACGTTGTTATGAATACGCCTGTGGATCCCCAAGGAAATCCGGTGAATGTTCCAGATGAAGCAGCAGCGATGGCAGAAGCACCTCCATTGGTAGATAGGCCTGTGCAGCCCATATTTGTCAGAAGGGATAGATTACCCTTGAATGATGTACATCCTCGTGAGCAAATGGATCAAGCAGAAGGCGCCCCATTCATAGAACCGAACCCAGTGGAACGAAGAGACGAAGGACAGCAGGACGAAGGCGAAGCTAAACCCGCAAATATGATTGCTGGTTACGATTTGGGCGAACCTTCCAATGCACAACACCGTAAAACTGGTCTGCAGCAGAACGGCGAAGATGTGGATGGAAGACCACATACTAAGACGGATTATGATGCATTTTCCCATGGCAAAGCTGCACGTATCTTGGGTAATGACCAGGAAAGCAGTCTTACCACGAGAGCTCCTCGAGGTAATGTTGGCGAGCGGCTTGAGTATGGGGCGGTTAGATCGCTGGAGGACGAGCAGAACGAGTACGCTGGTCCGAATAATCGTTTAATCAATATCGGGACGTCTTCTGACAACCATTGGTCTGCGCTACGTGACGATCGTTTATCTTCATCAGAGGTGACCGGGGGCGAGATAAATGGCTCAGTAGCTGACTTTGAAGGAACCTCAGACCTCGGAAGCACGAATAAGCTGTCAACAAACTCACTCTCTGATGGTGCTCGGACACCCTTCCCAGGATTAAACGATTCTGACTTGATTGAGAGAGAAAGAAAACTCATTTCAGCTGCAATTTATGATGAGAAACAATATCGAGAAAGGCATTCTGCCGGCTCGGAAACTGGAAAGGGCAAAAATACAGCAACATCCGCAAACGAACTGGAGGGCGGTAGATCGGACGCTTTGACACTGGCTCAAAGTGCATCACATGATGCACAGCCAAGTTCAGGGGACGCCTCGAGCTCTTTTCACGTTGAGGCTAGCGAAGGAAATGGTAAAGCGTCCTCTATCCATATGGATGCGGAGCACAACTTTGGATGGGATACCGGACTGCCAGAAAACAGGGTCTTCCAGGGTCAAAGTGGTTCAGCTCATCTACCAAGAAGCCTCAGTGCTGTTAGGTTACAGCACGCTGAAACGGATCTGGAGACCTACAGGAGAAGGCGCTCCTCAATGTCTGATTTGGGGCCGCCTGCAGGTCAAGTGCCGAATGGATTTCGCCCAGAAAACACACCCGCGCTTGGCATGGCGCCCGTACCCGTCATGCCCCCAATACAGCGGCCACCAGTGGAACAGCCGCAACTTCCTCCCCCGCCTGCACAAGCGCCAGCTCCACCTGCCCCTGTGGTGGATCCGAATCCAAACGCTGACAACAACGATGTCAACGCATTCTTAGAGCTAGTCGGGGTACAAGGCCCTCTGGAAAATCTGGCGCAAAATGTCACCATGGTTTTGCTAGTCATCATAGTAGCATTGGGTATTGGTGTACTATGGCCTTATCTCACAGGACGCTTCATGGTGTGGCTCATTAAGGATATTTATGCACCGAGTCTTGAGTGGATCGTCGGAAGCCTGCAGAAGGTAACTGATCCCGTGCTAGACCCGGTTGTAGACGTTACCGTGTGGTGCATCAGACTCCTTGGTATCAGAGCGGGACGGGGTGGCAAATGGCGAGAAGGACTTGGCACCGTGAAAGGAAATCTGACCTCCTACAATGTGACGGATGTTCTTCCAAAAAACCTGACTGAAGGTGTTAATGAGGTTGGAACAGGCATCAGAGCAGGTGTAGCACCGGTAAATGACGTGAAAGTGCCTGTCCATGCGAATGTCCTCGAGTTGATGGAACAAGTAGCCGATCTGGAGGCGCAGGTGGAAGAGCTTGGAGATGGGTTCATTAGAAACGAAGCCACCGTGAAGGACGCTGCCGATGTTTCACCAGAAGGATCTGCCAGTAATGGGTCTGCAGATCTGCCAGAAGGTTCTCCGGAAGCAGCCAGGGAAAAGGACGCTATGGAAAACTTGAAAAAACGCGCTGCCGACAGGAAGACCACAGGCGGGGACGGCCGAAAGGGGAAAAGGGTGGCGGGTGTTCCGGACAAGGTTTTGTTTACAGCTGTTGGGTACACTACCCATGGCTTCTTCATCATGGACTATGCCGTAAGATTCTCGCGTCTGCTCTTTTCGATCATTGCGCTTACGGTAACATGGGATCACTCTGAATGCTCTAGAGAAGAACAGGCTTGCTGCAGCATCCGTACGCTCAAACCGTGAAGCGTATCATGATGAAATGGGTCCTATATGTGATCATGGCCGCAAAGGTATGCTTATTTACTATTCTGACGTTCAATAGGTTGTACCCGACTCACTTTTAAATAATGGCAGTTTTCATTCTTCCTTACTATCGAATTGGGAATTTTCCCCTTTTTCTGCGGCGTCCTCATTGATATATGTACCCTTCCAGTGTTTGGCCCTAGCGCCACAATCGCTTCCCGCTGGGCTTTTTACAATGCTCATCCTTGGACGTCAGAGTTCCTCCACTGGCTGGCAGGTACAACTTTCATGTTCCAGTTTGCTTTGTACGTTTCGACTGTTCGCGAGATCGTTCGACCTGGTGTGATGTGGTTTATTCGAGACCCCAACGATCCGCAGTTTCATCCTATGAACGACATTTTAGAACGCCCGGTTCTGACACAACTCAGGAAGCTGGCTGTTGGAACTATAATGTATGCTGGCATGGTTCTGGGAGGTGTAGGCGGTTTTGTTTCTCTTGTATGGAGTATAGATCGACTTTTTGGTATAAAAGAGGGTCCCGGGAAAATTTGGCCTTTACAATGGGATCTTAGGTGAGTCCATTGAGACCCATGTGAGTGTGTCCGGTATCCACGAGTTTATTTACCGAACTCGCCCCTTTTAGCATCCCGGTGTCAGAATTTCCTATTGACCTGCTGATTTTTCACTTCGTGGTGCCGTGGACCGTCGCGTGGATCCGTCCCAAACGCATTCTCCGTTGGCTGGTCGATCAATGGTTCAGATGGACTGCGAGAAGGCTACGCTTAACGAGTTTCCTATTTGGGGGTGCTCACAAAGATGAGGAATCAGATGATGAGGTCGAGGTTGAAGTAAACGATGCCACAGAGGAAATAGTGTATCACGATGAGGCAGCCCCTAGCGCGAGCGCAGATAGTCCATCGTTGGAGGGCAATGGAACGGTCGAGCAGCCAGCAGCCCCTGCCCACTCGCAGGAGCAACCTCTTCCTACAAGTGCAGGCTCATCAAGCTCTGACCGTGCTGATGACGCCGATGATGAGTGGGAGGATGAGGAAGTGATTGTTCTTAACGGGCCGGGTCCAAGGACTCCGCCATCCACAACAACCGGCATAAAACGTAAGAGATGGCGACCTCGACGGGAGTATCGATATATGAGGGTGCCCAACCACGATCATGTAGAAGTAATTGCCGGGCAGAAGATGTTGATACCACTCAAGTTTGGAGAAGGGCTGATGGGTAGAGAGGGTGAAACCGAGGAGGAAGTGAGAGTCAACTGGACAAAGGTGTATGTTCCGGACAGATTCAAGATCAGGGTGAGTTTTGATTTGCACACATCTACAAGACTAGGACTCATGTCCAACGCTGCAACTCACGGTCGTACTAAATACCCATTGTTTCGGATTTCAGATTGCGGTACTGTTGCTATTTCAGTGGGTTTGTGGAGTGGTTCTAATGACAACCGTGATAGTGGGACCACGTAAGTGAAGTAACATTCAGGCATTTATACATTGATTCGCTCATTATTCATCCGAACGTGTCGATTCATCAGTGTATCTCGGGCGTATCATATCCATCGAAATCTTCCAATGCCTACCTGAATTAGACGTTTTTGCACCGGCAAACCCCACGACAAGCGACGTTCTCCCTCGGAGAGCCATTCGCCCGGACCTTCCGGTTCA